GACAACAAAAATGAAACTCGTCTCAAAAAATAAACAAATAAATAATAAAACATAATAAAAATTTGAAGTTTATATTAGGAAAACCTCAACTTTTATTTTTTACACTTTTAGTTGAAGAATTACTAATTCATCATACTAATACACCATCTCTCCTAATGACTGGGTAAACCTTAGCAATTTAAACATGGATAAGTAGATGGCAAAAAACAAAGTGGAAGGAATACACAGCTGGAATTGTAACGCCATCCATTTTACTCGACAAACTGTCAAGCGAATTGCTCTGGGTAAGAGACCTCAAAAATACAAAAAGTGGTTTAATTTTTACAAAATTGCTCCTCTTTTTGAGAAAATCTTTCACTAGAAGCCTCATTCACTCTTGTTTTAAGCCGTTTTCTTATCTACAGACTAGGGCAATCTCACCCACTTTAATATGGCCTCATGTACTGTGTATATACTGAAGATTCCCATATTTTTGCCTTCAGCTTGTTCTCTCTCCTAAACTGCCCACTTATGTATATAATTGCCCACTTGACATTTTCACTTGAGTATCTCACTGGCTTTTTAATGTCATTATTATGCATGAATCTAGAATCTGACATCTGATTCTCCTCCTATAGGTCCTGCCTTGCTGAATTGCACCCAATGGCCCAAGCTCGAAATCTGTGAGCCATCCTTGACTCTTCCTTCTCCTTTATCCACCATATCAAATCACCCAGGCCTCCCTTAATTCTACCTCATACACGTTGCTTAAATCCATCCACTCTTCATCCCAATTCCCAGTACCTTAGTTTGGGCCAACATTATGTCTCATTGGGATATTTGCAATAACCTTTTAATAAGCCTCCATACCTCCAATTCCAATTTGGTCAGTTGATGTTTACAGGTTTTTTGAGCTTACCAAAAAAATAAAAAGCAATCCTTAGGGAAAAAAGAAATCGAGTGTTATACAGCTACTAGCACAAATATTCTGCTTTGGGATGTCATATTACTTTGGGTTTGCCATAGAAACGGAGAGAGAAGATTCTAAGGAATTGTCTCACATGATTATGGAGACTGGCAGCTCTACACATCTGCAGCGCCAATGTCCCAGTTGAAAGGCACACAGGCTCTTTAGAACCAGGAAGAGCCAGTGCCAATTCAAAGGCTGGCCTTGATACTGGAAGGCCAGGCCTTTAGGCAGAATTCCCCCTTGCAGGGGGAAGGTCAGCTCTTTGTTCTATTCAGGCCTTCCAGGGATAGGAGGAGCACAACCCAGGCTAGGAAGGGCAATCTGCTTTACTCTGCCTACTGAGGTACATGTTAGCTTCATCCAAAAGCATCCTGACTGAAAAAGTGAGAATATTATCTGAACAAATATCTCGGTACCTGTAGCTGTCAAGTTGAAACATAAAATTAACCATCACACATGGGTAGAGTAAATAATATAAGCCTGGATATTAATCAGTCTAGCTAGGTGGCTAGGTGTGGTGTAGACTACTAGGATAGTGTTGACCAATTTCAGAGTCAAGATTCACAGGCATATTATTTCATCTCAGCCTGCTTACTTTCGGTAAACAGTAATGATACTTTTCTCAAAGAACTGATATGGTCACATGAAACAATGTTTATAAAGCTCTTAACATAGTACCTGGCACATTTTACATACTCAGAATTTTGGAAACAGAACACATTTGTTTTTTATGTTAACAATTTCATCTTACTGACTTTAGTCTCTTGAAGCTTTAAAAAATTCACAGCAGCTGGGCACAGTGGCTCACACCTGTAGTCCCAGCACTTTGAAAGGCCAAGGTGGGTGGATCACCTGAGGTCAGGAGTTTGAGACCAGCCTGGGCAACATGGTGAAACCCTGTCTTTACTAAAAATACAAAAATCAGCCGGATATGGTGGCGCACACCTGTGATTCCAGCTAGTAGGGAGGCTGAAGCAAGAGAATCGCTTGAACCAGGAAGCAGAGGTTGCAGCGAGCCAAGATCGTACTGCTGCACTCCAGCCTGGGCAACATAGCAAGAATTTGTCCCAAAACTTTTTTTACATCATTTCTTTGGGGTTTGTGTAGGGCTGGTAATGGGCTACTTACTAAGTTTAAAAAAAAAAAAATTCTTACGTGTTGAAGAAAATATTTATGCTTTCAGCTCTTCCCCAACCTCTCCCATGAAGCAAACAGAAATGTAAAAAGGTGTAACCATAAAAATCCACTCTTAAAGTGCCCATAGAAAGCACACTACATGAAACCATCAGTTGTCCTAAGCTGACCATAACTCAGTAGAAATCAGTAACATGTTTTTTTTTTCTTTCCTTACAGAGAAACTTACAGTTTTAGCACGTAGTTAATATATCTGCAGTGGAAGAAATACAATTTCTCCTCAAGCCTCATGAGTTCATAGTTGGGACAGATCCCTATAACAAAAGACAGATTAACAAGAGAAAAACGACTAATTTTTATTAATATTTGCAGTGTATATCATACAGGAAAAAACCCAATGAAAAAGTAACCACAAGTAGCGGCTTACAACTCTAGATTACACAGCATCTTCCACAGAGAATAAATTTTAGAGAAGTGTGACAAGGAAAGCAGTTTTAGGCTTCCAGAGGCAGAAACTGTGAGGAGCTAAATATACGGCAAGAAAGTAACAGTAAGGTTTGTTTGTAGATTCCTCTGGTGCTGTCTCAGCCGACTAGAGCTATCTTTTCATCTTGGTATCAGGAAAGCATCTTTCTCAAAGAAGTTCGTATGGCTTGCTACAGGTAGGAAAGGACAGGTAAGATAGCTATTTCTGTCACTACTGTTTCTCAAGCGCCTTTAGCTCGAAATAATCACTATGGCAAATTGGCATACTTGGGGAAGGCATGTTCAAATTTCCTTCAGATCAAAAGAACAGAAAGGTCAGAATCTGGCCCATATATGGTAACTGAATGACAGATGTCGCACTTGAAACATTGATACTTGGAGGAATAGCTATAAATATGCAAAAATAATTAAAAGAAGATTCCAAAATCATGCCATAAACAAAAACAAATTTCAGTTGGACTAAACATCTAAATGTTAAAAAATTTTATAACTTTTGGAAGGCTGTGTAATACTATTTTTATGACATTTCCTATACAAAAACCAGAAAAAGCAAATCATTATAAGAAATATTGGTAAGATTACATTAAAATTTAAAAATTCAATATTTCATAACCAAAATACAAAGACAAACCAGCCTAAAAAAGATAGTTGAAACATACATAAGAGATTATTAGTATTCAAAACATGTCATATCTAAAAACTGACAAGTCAAAAATAGAAAAACGAGCAAAAATGCCTATAATCCCAGTGCTTTGGGAGACAAGATGGGAGGACTGTTTGAGCCCAAGTTCAAGATTACAGCGAGCTATGATCTTGCAAACGCACTCCAGCCTGAGCAACAGAGCAAGATCGTGTCTCTTAAAAAAAAAAGAGTAAAAGATATGGCCTCAGAAATCACACAATGTATTTCCTCAATATCCTGGTAGTCAGCACTGTAAAATGCAGAAGACTATACTGGGCATAAATACCAGGATGCCAGGGATCACTGGGGCCATCTGGAGGCTGGCTACCACACACATAAAACAATATTTTGTAGCACTTTTTAAAAATATATTTGTTTTAAAATATAAAAACACACACTAGAAAATATGTAACCTCTAGTGGTTACTTCTGGGGACTCTCAAAGAGTCCTCAAAGAGAGAGGAAGGCGACAGGATCAATGACGCAACAAACTTAAATTGTATCTAACATTTGCAATTACATACATACGTGTGTGTGTGTGTGTGTGTGTGTGTGTGTGTGTGTGTGTGTCTATCTGTCTGAAGAAAATATAGCCAAATGCTAACATTTACTATATCTGCGTGGTAGAAATAGACGAATTTTCTTGAAATCATTTACCTTTCCTATATCTTTGAAATATGTAAAAAAAAAAAAAAAGTTTTGAGGTAATGAATCCAAAGAAATGGAAATAAAATGTGTTTTTAATAAGAATTAATTTTTACACATTTTAACAATTGCAATTTTCAGGATATGTAAGAATATTTTTCTAATACTGAAATAAGCATATCTTTGGTACAGAAATCACACCCTATGTGTGATCTTTAAAAAAACTAATCAAGAACTATGACCTAATATGTTAAACAAAACTATTCTTTGCCCATCCATCTGTCCCCTCTCATAGCCCCATTGTGGGGCGTTAGAATATAGTTCTGTACATATCTACAAAGAATTAAGATGTTGTATCAAAGATGTCCAGAAGTTACATATGGCAGAGAATTAGTGGCTTCATCCTTGACACACCACACAAAATATCAAAAGCAACATAAGATACAGGATGCAAAATAGAACACTAAGGTCAAATAATACAAAAACAATCACATCATTTAAATTTGATGCATTGCAAACAAAGTAACTTCTTTAGAATTATTATGTACACAACTTGCAAAGCTCAGAAAGCAATAGCACAGAGCCATAAATCTGGTAAGGCACTTTATTTTGAGATGGAGTCTCACTCTGTGGCCCAGGCTGGAGTACAGCGATGCTATTTCAGCTCACTGCAACCTCCGCCTCCCAGGTTCAAGCAATTCTTCTGCCTTAGCCTCCCAAGTAACTGGGACTACAGGCATGCGCCACCACGCCTGGCTAATTTTTGTATTTTTAATAGAGACAGGGTTTCACCATATTGGCCAGGCTGGTCTTGAACTCCTGACCTCGTGATCCACCAGCCTCAGCCTCCCAAAGTGCTGGGATTACAGGCGTGAGCCACTGCGCCCCTGCCATTCTTGTATACTAACAATGCTTTATACCTTAAGACTCTTTAAAGATAGCAATCAAACATATACAAGTATCAGAACAAAAACTGTTAAACTGGAAAAGCAGTAACCACAGAAATAGAGAAAAAATATGCATTCTTTCTAGACAGTCTTTCCTTTTCTGAAGTAAAGTCTTTTAAAAAAAAAATCAAAGAAGTACAAAAAATACTTGCCATACATTTTTAAAACCTATCATCAAAGTCCAAATCTCTGTAAAAAAGAATGCTTATCTTCAAGTCAATAAAGGTCAGATTCATACATTTTCTACAGAAACAATTACAGTCTTCATGCTAAATATGGGAAGAAAAAAAGCTTTTAATTAAGTTTGTTAACTCTTCTATTCAACAAATATTTAGTGAGTGTTGTGTGACCCTGTTTTAGGTGCTGTGGATATAAAGACACAATCATTAGTTGCAGACAACTTAGCCTAATAGAGCTGGATCTACCATTGGAAACCTTAAAGTTACCCCCCTTGGTCTTTAAGATGAAATGCAACTTCAAACTCTGCCATGCTTAGCATCTTGTTGCAAAACAAATAAATAACGGTCTATAGAGTTTGCTACTGGTAGCACTATGGCACTATTAATATTAGCCATCTACTGATTGTCTTTCATAAAGGATTCTATGAAAGTTCAGAGGCAGAAAGTACTTAAGGATAAACAAGGACTGGTCAGCCTCAAAGATAGCATTGGCATTCCACTTTCACAAAAGCCAAGAAAACCAAGAAAAGGAAGATAACAAATTGGTTAGCATGGATGATCAACAAATGTCTATGGATACGACCAGCAGGAAACTCTCATCACAATTGAGTGGAAGATTCAGGCAGTTTCCCTCTAATTCCACGGATCCTGAAGCAGGAATTGGAAGACTGGAGGACACTGAAAGGAATGCAAAACCTATGTTCGACCCAGCATTCCGAGCCACCTTCCATCCAGCTACCTCAAACCTTTTGTTTTTGTGCTGTCTTACTGATGGACTGCATGAGGGCCTCATAGATGCAGGTGTGAGTGAAAGAAGCTTGCTCACTGTTGAAGGCAAACAAACATCCACAGTCACTCTTTAAAAGGACTGTCACTGACCAGGACCAGATGACTAAAACTGAAATGGCATCCATGCTTCAACACTGCTGCTGCCTACTCATCGGAGTTGTGATTGGGTCAAGTGATCTGGTCTAATCCTATTCAGGTCTAAAAACGATTCCGGGCCATGATGGTTGCACCAGGCAGGGCAGCAGATGACGAAAGTGCAAACCTGTAGGTTGCACACAATGCTGGGCCTGCGATAGACTGGATCAACAGTCAACCTTAGGTTGGTGAATTTGTATTTGCTCTCCTGTTCAAGGAAAGGAGCTCTTGGATCAGGTCAAGCTTGTTGCTACCAGCGCCCAGATGACAACAGTTTTTACTATCCAGACCTTTCTAGAACCATGTATGGATGGGACACCAGCACTCCCCTCAGTCTTCACAGACATAGTGGAGTTTGATAAGAGACTCATCAATGCAAAGAACAAGATGGGGAGTCTGTCTGGACTAGCTGGGGCACTCCGCCATCCTATTACGCTAGAGCTTGCTCCTGGGACGTTTCCCAACCTGGCCACGGCAGCCAATTATTGGATCAAAAGAACCAATGCAACATTCACAGGCTTCAAAGACCCCAACATAATACCGGGAGCAAGTCTCTCACTGCCACTGCTACAAATGGTGGCACAGAGACCTGTCAAGAGGGGAGACACAGGTGGGCCAATGGACAGCACACTTGTTATCTTGTTATGGAATCACCAGTTACGATTGAACATCTATTCAAAAACCAAGAAAAATTTCATTCTGAGTACATACAGAACTTCTGGACAGAGGTCATCCTATACGTGTGGTAAATGTACAAACATGACATATGAAGAAGTATGAAGTAATGCAGTCATTATTAAACAACGAAGTATGTCAAATTAGTCATCAGGTTTCAAAGAATCATAGCCTTCTTTCAAGAGGTCCCGCCATGTTTTAAGGAAACGTGCATTTTCTGTACATTTGAAGGCAAGCTCTTCCACTTGAGCTGATACTGCAGATGTGGCTTCAAGGAGTTTGGTTAATGAAAAGGCTGCCTAAAATTAAAAAAAAAAAAAAAATCAAAAAAGTTTATTTTTAAAAATTTCATCTCATTTTACAAGCAGTCTAAAAATAGCTTAAGGCATTGAAACCAGTGTCCCTGTTTTCTTTAAAAGTAATCTATTTTCAAACTAAAGTATTGGCTCTTTAGCATTTCTTAGGTTCCCTGAAAGAGCCAATGCTTTAGTTTGAAAATTGAGTAGGCTTTGATGAAACAGGTCTGCTAGAAAAATATTCACTATGTATGAGACATGACAAGTCAGTATATATGAAAATACACTAGAGTCTCAGGTCAACAAGATGACTTGGACCCCTTAACACTACGTGCCAGAAGTATCTGAAGGAATTCATCATAAATAATTCTTACTTCTATGTGGGTAACATGGGCATTGACCTGTGAACACTTTAAACAATGAAAATGTACAGATCAAAGAACAGAAACTCTGAGCTCTGACAAACAACATCAACGAAATCACACACGAATGCAGAAAACATTCAGCTCCTGGTGGAAATTTCACTTTTTAGGCAAATATTTTCTTCACCGATGATATAAAATAAAACATTGTTCCTAAATAACACATTAGCACTTCATTCTACATATTTCTTTGTAGAATATTCAAAGAATATGTAAGAAAATTCTACATATTTACTTACAATCAGTTTGTTCTGCAAAAATAAAGTCTGGATACACAATTTAGTCATCCTTAAAAAAATATCTGCGGAGCAATGAGATAATCGAGGTCATCCCCTGGTTTCTAATCCTTACGAAAGGACATGCCACAGAGCTCTCCCAGAAGGTTACCCCATTCCATTTGACCCACTCGAGAGACCATCAAACTGTGACCTCCTCCCTTCTCCCCCTCCCTATCTTGTGTGAGTTAGGGGTGGGAGGTGGGCTGCTAGTTTCTGGGGATTCGAAATTTAACAGAAACTATCCTTACTAAGTATGCATTCTAGCAATCATAGGAAGGGAGGAGTGCCGAACTAAACCCTTAATGAAGCCAATCCACGTGACCTAAACCCTTCAAGCTGGGTCCACCGCTAAGCAGGCTTGAGGCAGACAATGGCATTATCATCTGTCCCTGGGCAGGTGGCCAAGTAGAACAGCGAGCTCTAAGTCCCATGGAAAGAAATCACAGTCTGATCCTAAACACTCGCAGACAGCAAGCAAACCCATGCAGTGAAAACTATTCTCCGATGGGAGAGGAGGAGGCAAAGAGCCAGCACCGGGCGGGGCAGAGCTGCAGGGCTTCGGGTTACTGCGGATGATTGAAACCAGAAGGCGAGACAAAAAGAAACCAGTTAGGGGTGGGGCGGGTGGAGGGATAACCCCAAGACTCCTCACCGCTAAATCTAAATGGGGAACGCTCAGAGAGGGGTGGCACTTTAGCTGCTGGCGTCTCCCACTCCCCACTTCCCGCCCGCACGCTCTCGGGCGCAGAAGAGCGGGTCGTCCCCGGTCGTGGGGGTTGGGGGACCGACGCCCTGGCCTCGCGGGCCCCGCCGCAGCCAGTCTTCCCAGAGGCGCCGAGGAGGGACGCAGTCCCGACTACACACTCACGTCTCCGATCTGCAGCTCCACTTCCTCCAGCGGGTCAACCTTTCGGCCGCTGCTCCTGCTCGGAACTGGCCAGCTCAAACTCACTGGCCCGCCCGGGGAAGATGCTGCAGAGGCGTCTGAAGAGGAGGGAGAAGAAGGAGGCGGCGGGGGCGGCGAAGAAACCTGTAGCTCCTCAGGGTCGGCCATGGGGCAGGGCTGGGACCGCGGAATCTAACTCGAGCAGCCGAACCGACACCAACTGTCTTTTAACCACTCCCGCCCAAAGCCAAGGGGCCCCGCCTCCTAGCGCCCGAAATCCCGCCCCGTCTCCTCACGGGTCTCAGCCCTGGACCACAAAGACGCTTCATTTTTCCGGACAGCCAATCAGATGACATCTATTCACCTTGGGCAGCTCAAGGCTCCTGCGCGAGCCTCTAGTCGGGCTGGAAGGGCGCGAGTGCAGAAGACTACCCCTCCCAGGAAGCCGTGCGCGTCGCCCCCACCTCTGCCACTGTCTTTCACTGCGCGTGCGTTGTTCTATGGGATTCGTGAACCCCTCTAGCCGCGCTCTGGCTCTCACCGCGTCCCGGCTGGGACTTGGAGTCCCTAATTTCCCGGGTTTGGTACATGACCCGGAAGCCTCGGCTGGCCGCCGCGTCATCCATGGCGCCGGCGCAGAGTGAGAAGGAGGCGGGAACGCCGCGAAGCAAGAGCGGTCGGCAGAGCTGGGGAGGCGAACCGCGGTGGAGTTCTTGCTTCCCGGCAGGTGATGGCGCCCCCCGCGGCCTAGAGGTCCAGCGCCCGCCGCGAGCAGCGGAGAGTCTTCGTGTCCTGTCTGACCGAGAATCCTGGTGACTTTGAACATGCTGGTGCCGCTAGCCAAGCTGTCGTGCCCGGGTGAGAGGGAATGTAGGGTGGGAATAAGTGGAGGAAAGTGGAGGAATTAGGGCAAAAGAGACAAGGCCGGTCCTGGGGGCTGTAGGCACCTCTCATCTCTCCCCTCTTCTCTCACCTGCTTTCTGAGGCTATCTAGGGCAAAGGTCACGCTCTGTAAGCCTGGTGGTGGACCCTAGCTTTCTCTCTCTGGGGTTGCCTCAGTTGGAAAAAATAATATCTAGGCTAAAGGTCAAGGGCGGAGAAAACTTGTCAACACACCCCACCCACCACCACCCGTCAGCAAACGCACATCTCGGTGGACTCCTGAACTGAGGCTTCCCAAATCATGGTTCTAATCCTCAGAGCTTTGTTTTAAATGGAAAAAAAAAGTTGTATTTGCCCAGTTTTTATCCTTGGTCTTCGCAGCCATCCTGGTTCAGTCTAAAGAAATTGAAGTCTTATCTGTCACATCATAGTTAACATTCATATGTTAACCAAGTAACCTGAGTGTCTCTGGAGCCAGGAGTTTTCTGCCTTGTCTAAAATTAGCTGTAAAGGCCAGTCTCAGTGGCTCATGCCTGTAATCCCAGCGCTTTGGGAGATCGAGGCGGGTGGATCACCTGAGGTCCAGAGTTCAAGGCCAGCCTGACCGACGTAGTGAAACCTCATCTCTGCTAAAAATACAAAAATTAGCTGAGCGTGATGTCGCATGCTTGTAATCGCAGCTACTCAGGAGGCTTAGGCAGGAGAATCACTTGAACCCGGGAGGTAGAGGTTGCAGTGAGCTGAGATCGCACCACTGCACTCCAGCCTGGGTGACAGAGCCAGACTCCGTCTCAAAAAATGTAAAATAAAATTAAGGGTTTTATCGTGTTACGGGTATTCTTTGAACCATCATGACAGATGAAGTTAGATGGTCTTTTTAAAGTTTTACTTAAATTTTTGTTGTTGTTAATTCAAACAAAAGTTCACTAAAAGATCTCGTATTCTGTCATAACTGGCTTAATTTTTTTAATCTTAAGTTCTGGTGGTTCATTAAGTATAAATATTACAAATTCAAAGATGTTCTTATGAAATTTCATGAAAGTAGAATTTTGTTAAATTTGGCTTCCATATGTTAAATTAGAACTTTGTTTAAATTTCATGTCATGTCACCCATGCATTTGTTGTTGCACTTAGTGTATGGATAAGATAGATGGTGTTTGAAGTTGTCAGTGCTGTCTGCCTTACGGAATGATTTAGATGCCATCAGCCTTGGGCCCAGTGCTAACCACTACAATTTCTGTTTTCTTTGGATGGCAATTCATTGCCATTTTCATAGCCTGAAAGAGGTAGACACAAATGTGCCATCGGTGTGAGTTTGATATGGTGATACTATGAGTTCAAAGGACTTCATGACCAAGGAGACTGAATATTCAAATCTCTAAAGTGAGATACCAGATTTGTTTTCAGAAAAGGGGTAAAGGTTGTGACTTTTTTCTTTCCAATCCTTTGGAGAAAGACTGCACAGTTCCAAATATTCTCAAGAGAATCAGTAACTATACAAGCAGTAGAATTACAGTTTGTCATATGCCAGTCATCAGTTTTCAGAAGTAAATAACTTCTATACACTAAATTACAGTGCATTGAAAACTAAATATTTTAAATATTGATTATAGTGTGTTTGAACTCTTGCACTGAGTCCTAGAGTATCTTTATGTATTTAATATACCTTTTTTTGTTGTTTTTTTCAAAACATAGGTGAATAGTTATCTAAGGCTTAAAAAGTGTTCCCAGTATTACAGTTTTTTTGTTTTTTGGGTTTTTTGAGACAGCCTTGCCCTGTCGCCCAGGCTGGAGTGCAGTGGTGTAATCTTGGCTCACTGCAACCTCTGCCTACTGGGTTCAAGTGATTGTCATGCCTCAGCCTCCCTAGTGGCTGGGATTACAGTGCCCACTACCATGCCCAGCTAATTTTTGAATTTTTGGTGGAGATGGAGATTCCCCATGTTGGCCAGGCTGGTCTCAAATTCCTGGCCTCAAGTGATCTTCCTACCTCAGCCTCCCAAAGTGCTGGAATTACAGGTATGAGCCACCATGCCCGGCTCCAGTGCTATAGTTCTTAGTTTGCATAATCAAATTCATTTGCCACTTTTAAAAAAAATTATCAAATACAGATTTTTAGTGTCTAAGAGACTTGCCTTTTCACAGAAAATGACTCTAAAGAGCATTAATCTTTTGTAGTACCATGTGCCAATCATAAATGAATACTCTAGTGAAGGAAAGTATAAAAATGACTATCTAATATTTAGTTAACAAATTTCTATACCTAACATTAGGTTTTCACATACAACAAGATAATTGCTTTTGGAGCATGCTACCTGATGGAGAATACAGACAACTAAAGACATTTATATTTTTTGGTCACATAAATGGTTTGAATTTTTAGTCCAGTGATATTATAACTTTTTAGATTTTTATTATTCTTAGAAAATAACTTTCAAAATCCTAGATTCTAAAAAAAAAAAAATCTGTTTTTTTCATAATATCTTTGTATGTGGCTATGTTATTTTTTTATAAGTTTTATAATCTTTAATAAGATATGTCACAAACCATACAATTTATACTATTTAAAATGTACAATTCAATGGTTTTTAGTATAGTCAGAGTTCTGTAACCATCACTGCAGTCTATTTTAGAAAATTTTCATCACTCCAAAAAGAAACTCTGTATTCACTCCCAAGCCCCTTCCAACATTAGACAACAGTCTACTTTCTGTCTCTGTAGATTAGCCTATCCTGAATATTTCGTATACATGGAAGCATATAATATGTTGTCTTTTTGTGTCTGGTTTCTTTTACATGGCATATTTTCAAAGTTCTTCCCTGTGGTAGCATGTATCAGTATTCAATTTCTTATTGCTAAATATTTCATTATTTGTATATTTCACTTCTTACCATTTATTGGTCAACACTTGGGTTGTTTCTACTTTTTGGCTGTTATAAATAATTCATCTATTGGCCAGGTGCGGTGGCTCACACCTGTAATCCCAGCACTTTGGGAGGCTGAGATGGACAGACTACTCAAGCCCAGGATTTCAGGACCAGCCTACACAACCCAGTGAGGCTGCTTGACTACAAAAACATAGAAACGATTAGCCAGGTATGATGGCATTCCCCCGTAGCCCTAGCTACTTAGGAGGCTGAGGTGGGGGGATCACTTAAGCCTGGAAAGTCAAGGCTTCAGTGAGCCATGATCACATCACTACATTCCACTCTTGGTGACAGAGTGAGACCTTGTCTCAAAAAAAAAAAAAAAAACAATTCAGCTAGGACCATTCCTGTGCAAGTTTTTGTGTGGAAATATGTTTTCATTATCTTAGGGATAGACTTAGGAATGGGTCGTATGAAAACAATGTGTTGAACCTTTTGAGGAACTGCCAGACTGTTTTGCAAAGAGACTGCATCATTTTTATTTCCCACACAGGAGTGTATGAGGGTTCCAGTTTTCCACATCCTTGCAAACTCTTGTTATTGTAACCGCCCAATGTGTTCTTTCCTGCTACCCAGACAGAGCCAATTTATCAAAACAGGAGAATTATAATAGAGAAAAACTTTAATTCACACAGAGCAGGCTGTACAGGAGACCGGAGTTTTATTATTACTCAAATCAGCCTCCCCGAAAACTTGGAGATTGGGCTTTTTAAGGATATTTTGGTGAGTGGGGGGTGTTAGAAAGTGGGGAGTGCTGATTGTCAGGTCAGATTTGAAATCATAGGGAGGTGAGTTTGTCCTCTTGCACTACTTCGTCAATCTGGGTGGTGCCAGTTGATCCATCAAGTGCAGGATCTGCAAAATGTCCCAAGTACTGATCTTAGCTTTTATAATAATTCTGTTATCCCAAGGAGCAATTTGGGGAGGTTCGGAATCTTGCCGCCTCCAGCTGCATGACTCTTAAATCATAATTTCTAATCTTGTAGCTAATTTGTTAGTCCTGCAAAGACAGTCTGGTCCCCAGGAAGGAAGGGGGTTTGTTCTGGAAAAGGGCTGTTGCTGTCTTTATTTCAAAATTAAACTATAAACTAAATTCCTCCCAAAGTTAGTTCAGCCTGCTTCCAGGAACAAACAAGGACTTATTGGAGGTTAAAAGCAAGATGGAGTTGGTTAGGTCAGCTCTCTTTCACTGTAATAATTTTCTTAGTTAGAGGTTTTGCAAAGGTGGTTTTATTGTCTTCTTGACTATAGCCATGCTAGTGGATGTGGTTTTGGTTTGCATTTCCCTGATGGCTAATGATGCTGAGCATCTTTTCATATACTTACCGGCCATTTGTATATCTTCTTTGAACTAGTATCTGTTCAGATGCTTTGCCACTTTTTAATTGGGTTATTTGTCTTTTTATTACTAGATATAAGAGTTCTTTATATATTCTAAATATAAGTACTTTATCAGAAACACGATTTGAAAATATTTTCTCCCATTCCATGGGCTGTCTTTTCACTTTCTTGATGGTATCCTTTGATGCACAAAAGGTTTTAATTTTGATGAAGTGCAGTTTAACTGTATTTTTTTGTTGTTGCTTGTGTTTTTGGTTGCCCTATTAAAGAAACCATTGCCTAACCCAATTGTTGATGAAAAAGCCAAACTCCATAAACTATTTAAAGAAATTAATTCTGAGCCAAATGTGAGGACCATGACCCAT